TTTCTGACATGCAAAATTTTACAATGTTATATCATAGCAGTCGTTCTAATAAACACTTACAATATTATTCTATTATCTATCTTTATTATTTATTAATTTATGTCAATTTTTCTCATTTTTGTCGATTAATACTAACTTAATTTATATTTGTAGAATTTAACACGTAATACTTTCTCAAAGCATTTATGGCGCGGTTTGCCGTTTAAATTACGCGCCACGACGTTGTTACAGGTACTGTAAGTAGTGCTGGGCAATGCTAACGCACAAAATAGGCAATGCTTTCTTCGATTCGCTGCTTAAAGGTGGCTTAGCACGGCCTTTGGTCTCAGAGCCGCGTCGCGAGAGCTCGTGCCACCGCACTCTGCCGTAGTTCAGAGGGCCGCCTGAGCGCGTCTGTGCTCGCACGTAACAGCCTGTTCGGATCCGCCGAGAGTCGGTAACTTCAAAGGCGCGGCGTGCGAGCGCGTGCGACCCAAGCACAGAATACTTAATAGTTGCTAAGCTTTCGACACGTACTCGAAATGCCCGTTGGGCCGAGGCTGCTCGGACTCGCCAATGACAATGCGACAACCCTACGATGCGAGTGAAATGTAGGCATTGAAGTGCCGAACAGGCGGGAGTTACACATCTTTTTTTATTATACTATGTTGTTACTTTGATGTAGTCTTTTTTATATTACCACAAATGAAACTCACGATTGACAACACACATAAACATTTTAGTATTTAACACTGAAATTCAAACACGATTATGCAAACATTTTTGTATAAAAATCACGATCATTACGACCTCGTAGTAGATATTCTAATAATATTTTTACTTGAAACGTTTTTATTTGAAACGTAATGGATGACCTCCATTATGAATTTACAGGGCCGATAATCGCAAGCTATTAATATAAATTACTTACATAGAAAATTTTACTCTCCTTCCGATGGCATAAACTCTCTTTAACCCTAAGTGGGTGCTGTTCAATTTAGCAAAACGAAATTATCAATTCGCACTTCAACCTTAAAATTGACGCAATTCATAAATGGCAAACGCACCAAAGTAAAAAAAGAGACGGTTGTGTTTTCAAATGAATACCCTACCGATCAATCATCGAAAGTGACATCACTAAGAACTACAATAAATACCTATTAAAATTCTTTTTGTTGATATTTTATAAAAATAATTCAGTTATTTTTTGGGGCTATACTTATTTTTGCTGTTATAACTAAAACAACTGGAATTCAGTTTTTTGGAAGTTGAGTACGTTGAATAAGTTTTTGCTAAAAGCAGGAAAGTTTGTCTATGCGCCCATGACAAAACCTCAAACAATTACATGGGATAGGGGAAGTAGGTTTCTGTAGCATTTCTTAGAACCAAGCTACCAAATCCGAATCGTATCTCTTTGTGGTCTCCCTGGTAACTATGACACAATAATAATAAAAAAAGATAAATAAATATAGTACTGTTTATCATAAGCTAACGTGATCGAGAGAAAAACTCGCCACGAGCACTGACCGGCGCGGTGTTTTAAGCCTAAATTCCGTTTAGTTATGATTTTTAACTTGTGACCGTTTGAAGCCGGCGTGCGAAATATTTGACGCGGTCGCTATTAGTATCGTAAATATATGGCAAAGAGATCAAAAGTCCATTATTTCTTCTTACTTTTTAACCAGCAAAAAGATTGTCCCATGTTATTATTACAACCAAACGGACTTCAAAAATATAGCAGGCAATTTTCCTGTCTTGTCTGTTGTTTTTCCTATTCAAGTCAAGCAAAAGGCCCATTCAAACGTAAATCCTTGTCCAAAAGCATACAACTGTGTTTTTGGCGAATTATTATGAGTCAGGTTATTATGAAGGTTTAGGTACATTTATGTCGTCTGCGTGATTACGTAGGTCAAATGACTCGGATAACATTCAGCAACAATTTTAGTTTAAAGTTTAAAGTACACGGGACCTTATTTGCTATGGTTACAGGTTGTCTGATCAAACTGTACAGTTACCGTAACTCATACGTTACAAAACCTGTCAGCTTGTGACAATTGCTTACTAAATAACCATGAAAATATTAAAACCTGTACTTTAAATCTGAAATTTACCAAAAATGTGCAAAAACAAAATACCCTACACAATATTATATGAACAAAGAAACACTACACCAAAATAACAAAAGTACATGCTCAATACTGATGGATAATAAACACATGTTCATATGCAACAAACAAATTAGTCGACAGAGTCCATTAGATTCGCCTTGTCTTCGTTTTGCGTAAATATTTGTTAAGATGAGGAATGTTTTGATGATTCATTTAGATATTTTGATTCTGTGAGCGTAGCTTCAATAAATTGGTACAGGGTCAAGAGCACGTCAAGCTTTACACTTAAGGCTTAAATCCATCTACATGCCGCTTACGATAAGAACGGTTCAAAGTACAAAGTGTCAAGCTTGACTGTACTACTTTGTCTTTAATGATCGTTGGACTTAAAGACCCGACTAATTATATTGATATTACTAAGGCCACAAATTCGCAACGGTGTGGTGCGTTCAAGGTTTGCATGTACATTGTGTCTTGTATTGAATATATCTAATACAAGACACACGTTTGTGCGCAAGGGAGCCACCACACTTATTAACGCAGAATCGCATTAAGCTGGACAGAAAAAGCTTTAAGTTCATGAACATAAGAGCGAAAAAGACGTGCGTTTCGCATCGATTCGTAAGTACGCGGCTCAACAGGTCAGCTACGAATCTGCTTCCTGCGTGACGGCGAGTCCAGGGGGTGTACTCTTGTCCTCCGTGGAACCAAATCAAATCAACCAAATTAAGACAATGTCAAGTGTGAAGATTCATTTGCATAAAGGCATAAAGCGTCTTTAGTCGAGTATTGATATCGGACGGACAACGAGAGTACAGGGCCGGGCTTAGAAAGAAATGGCGCGACGGCGCGCGAACGGCCGAGTCATCAATGGCGAATCCGCTTAATGCGACAAGTGTGGTTAAACACGATCACATCAAAACGATTCCGCGTTAATAATAATAATAAAGTTTTATTCAAGTAAGCCTGCCTGTTTACGTAAAAATACTTTTTTGTCGAAGAACAAAATTTTGAGTAGACTGACAGAAGGGTAAATTAGTGTAGTTTAAAGCAAATAACTATTATGAAAAAAGAGGTACACGTTATTTAGTTCCAAAGATATATAACGACATTGATTGGCTAAGGAATGACACAAAATTAAGTAAATATGCACTAAAATATAGGTTAAAGGCGTATCTTATGATATGGGGTTCTTCAAACGAGGCGTGAAGAGGCATATTGTAGGCAGGCAGGGTGGAGGTGGCTAGTGCAGTGAGGGTTTCATCGCTGCACTAGGTTCCTTCGCGTTTGGATACCACTTTCCACTTAACATCAGGTGGAGTGGAGTCATTTGCCTGTCATGTATAAAAAAAAAAAAAAATCTCTTAATGTATTTTTTTTAGTACTAGGTAATGTAGGAGTGCACATATCGCGACAAACTGCACAGCGTTTCGGCGATTTTTCGTAAATAAGTTACCTGTTTAAAAAAAGAAAAAAAAAAGAAAGAGAAATACGGAAATAATAGAAAGGGAAAGATCTGGATGACATTCTTTTTTATGCTAAGTATTATGGAATATGAAAATGTGTACAGATAATGAAATGTAAAATTATTCCTAAATACATGAATGAGCATATAAATATAAATATACAAATGAACATTAGTTCCATTATTATTGTTGATACGAAAGAATCGAAAGATCGACCAAACACAAAGAATAATTCCTTCAATCTGACGGAACTCGAGAATCAGCATCTGTTGCGTCACCGTGGCTAAGATTTGCTGACACGATTTGTAGCTTAGATCGTAAGAGCATTAGTGATAGCAATTTATCAAATTGATTTTACGCTTTTTCTTCCCCGAAGGTTTTTCTTAACGGGCTGGTGTCACAAGCACTTTTGAATAGTCAAAATCACACAAGAGATTACAAAAAAAGACATGTCAAATAAATAACACAATTCATACAATCATTCATAAAATTTTATCGTTTTGTTACATACGTAAGTAGGTAACAAAACGATAAAATATCAACACCACGCGTTTTTATCGTTCATATATTCATTAAATGTAGTACCCTTACTACCCAGAAGTTTGTTTTTAACATATGCTTTAAATTTATAAAATGGTATATATGAAATTTCGGTCGGTATTTTGTTTAAATATGTAATTCCTTGTCCTATAAATTAATTACTAACTCTTTGCAATCGGTATTCATGCACGATTAATTTATCTTTATTTCTAGTATTACGTTCGTATATAACGCTGTGTTTCTTAAATACAGTAATATTTTTAATATAAAATACAATTAAACATAAACTGTGATGCTACCACCATTAGAATATTAATCTCTTTGAACATCTTTTTAAAGGAGACCCTGTTTCTCAGTTTATATATGGACCTTACAACTCTCTTTTATAAAACATAAATACAGTAGAATGCCGTATGACATTACGCTGTGGAAGTAGCGTAATAAACTAGACGAGCACTTTCACGATCTACAAGTTCCTTAATTTTTCTTACAGCGCAGTTGAACTGAATAGAATCTATAAGTATGGTGATTCCCTAACATCAACTTCTGTTCTATGACATAAGAATTAATCAGATTTTACTTTCCCACGAAAATAAAAATGTTTAAATAGATAGCTCTAAACGGTGATAACTCTGTGCGGTAGCACAAGTAAGCGCTAGCGTAAATACCAGCCCGATGCAAAACGCAGGAGCGAGGGTAGAGGTCGTCGGAGAGGAAGCTTGCACGTCTAAAGTTACTACCTTACTACCGAATACAGATCTAATAAAGTGCCAGATAGTCAACAAAAACTTAAAAGTTTATTTTTGGAAAGTCTATTAAGTCGTGGAACAAGAGTTGTTGTTTATGATGTTAGTAATATAGTCCTGTGTTAGTATTTTACATGTAACCCACGTATTCGATTTTGTAGCGCAACAGGCATGTTCGCGGAGGCTCATGTTGACAGCTTTAGTGCAATAACACACAAGAGAACTGCCTCCCTGATGCGTCGCGTGCGTGACAGTTCCAACAGCTCGTACTGTTGATTTGGGAGAGTACTCTGCTTGCGACACGTGGAAGCACTGGAATCAAATTCATATGGTTCCAGACGTCTGCTTTATAATATAATGTAAATGTTTCAATTTCATTTAATTTATAGTTTGACGTGATTGATAATTTGATTTAATTTATTTCATTGAGTTGGTGGATGTTATTTAATTGTATGTTATAATAATTTTCATTACTAATATATGATATAAATATATTTCTATGTACTTATATCATATATTAGTAATGAGATAATATAAAATAATAACTAACATCTATGGGTATGGTCTGAAATAAACAATTTGAATTTGATAGTAACTAATAAAACCAAAAGACTTTCAGTAGATACGCTCTAAAAACTAATACCTATCTATTGTTTAATTCAAACCGCTTCCAAATATTACACACTCATATATTCGAAATTTTCATCCAAAAATTCAATGTTATGTTACAGACAAAAATATATTTTTAAATAATTATGAATTACCATAGCCCCAGGAAAATAAATGAATTCCTCGAATAAATTTATATCTACCATATTATTTGGATGCCCGTCAAACCGCGAAGTGGCTGCGAATTATTTTCGTAAAGCAAATTAATTTTTATTGAATATCATGATATTTTTGTCCGCAACAAGCGGATCTTTGTACTGGGTTTAAACGGCTTTTTTTTCGTAGCATCACTATCTATGAAAACTTATAAAAGTTTCGTCACTCAGCCCGGTACCGTTACAGGAACTAGGTACTTCTAGTAGCATTAGAGCTCCTTGTGAAAGAGTTAGTCCTGGGAAGTACTGCCACCTTACCTGTCTCTGCCGCAAAGCAGTAATGTGAGTAGTTTTGAAGGGTAAGAGTAATGCTGATGAAATTAAGGGCACGTAGCACAGTGGCAGTGCCCTCCATATCTTCGCGACTTAAAACTCTCAGTGGTATTGCAATTGTTTTAGATAGGCGTGTAGCTTACCACTTAGCACGACTTGTTCGTCCCGTCACTTGATATTTTAAAAATGCTACCAAAAAACTCGCTATATTAATTGCAATATTAATTTTTTCACCTCACTAGCTCGGAAAGGCTTTCTTTCTCATTAGAAATCTGCGCGCAAAAGCTTTTTTTCCACGCTAGCGCGGAAAAGGTTTTTGAGATTCGAACTTGACGATGAATTATGGTACCTAATTTTTTTTTTCGATGAAAAAAACATAATGACCCGTTCAACTACGTAGTATAAATATATGTAGTATAAATCCGTTGGTAGATATATTTTATTATTATTATTGTTAACTTTAAATTGACAACGACAATTAATTTTTTTATTAAATTATTTTTGATATATGTATGAATGATACTGATTTGTTATAGTTCAACGGTTTTTCTTTCATCTACTATTTTCCTCGCTATAGTGAGGTCAAAAGTTCTGTGTTCGCGTGTCGCTCGGCAGGAACTTGATTTGCGTCTCGTGTCTTGAAACCGTGGCTACGCTCAGGATTCTATCTTTCATATCATACCTAATCATGTCTAATCCTAGCATTTTTCGCTAACTCGGGTTTCAATACAAGCACTTGCGTCAAAAAGCAACTTTGCAACCTTGCATAACAAGTAACTACCATTCAATATCATAATGTTTTCACTACAATGTTTTTCTTTATTGTGAAAATACTCTTGTTATTGATACAAATATCGAACAAACTGAAAGAAAAGTTTCTTCGATCCGATTGTACTCGAACCAGTGTCTGTTGCCTAAATGTGGCTAATAATTATATTCAGATTCTGCAAAAATAGAAAATACTTTATTTTAATTACTATCCCTACTTAATAAGTCCGTTATTAATTCAGACGATCGTTCTAATATAATTAAAGTTAATGGATCCTGTTCTGTCGAAGTGCCTTCGAAGCCTAACTAAATAAAGTTCATGCATTATTTATACTCTGCGTCCCTAATCAATAGAATAATACCAATTTAACGATGCAGTTCCGAATTACACCCGTAGGTATATTGTTTCAAAATATCATTTATTTCTTGTAATGCATCCAGAAACTACAGTTCCAACTTAAAGATACAATAAATTATCAGTGTATATTTATTATTGGTAACAATAAGTTCACTCTACCTGCATTGACTTACAAATAAATGGACGACGGGTGTAATAAAAAAACCACGAAAAAATGTCCCAAGTCAACCTATTTAAACGTAGTGACATGGAAAGGAATATGAAAAAGCTAAAACGTTAGATTTAAATTGTAATGTCATCGCAGTACTGTCTAATTTTGCTTGCTTCGCTGTTAGTCGTACAAACGAAGACTAAAGCGTGAATGACGCTCTGTATACGATTTTAAAGCCCTATAAGTTCGGACACTTTTTAGCGCGGACCCGACGTCCATGTAATTGTAAGTCAATGTCTACCTGTCTTATTCTGCATGACGAAAAATGAACTACATGTAATGTAAATTCTATTTTTTCGCATCGATCTTGCGAATGTTTGTTTTTTCAAACAAACCAAACTTTCGGGCCCTTTCCAAAGCCCATAATCACGACCGAAAAAGTGTTTCATTTCCTACGAATAATAATCACGAACACATAAGACATTGATTGAATATCATGTTAGGTTAGAGCTGTCAGATTAAACGACACTAAAAACTACTTTAAAATCGCTGTAAAATTAAATTTAAATATCTCCTTTTCTAATACCTACCGAAAGAGATGCACTGACCTTATATTAAGTTTGGATAGCGTTTGCCCGAACCGACGCTGATTTGTCAATAAACAAATCGTCATCCTGATCATCCGCAGGCCTACACCAACCAATAAACATTCACATCGAACTCGATACTCAGTACTGCACCCTAGACAATTTGATTATCGTGGTGGTATCGGGACTAGTGACGCTATAGACACTTTAATTGGTGATATAATGCGAGAAATCAACAATAAGCAGAAAGTAGCCGGTCTTTTCTTCGATTTAAGTGCAGCTTTTGACTTAGTGGACCACGATTTATTAATTTCTAAATTGGAGCACTATGGAGTTAGAAATAATAATCTTGAACTTTTGAAGACTTATTTATGCAACCGGAAACAATTTATGGAAATAAAAGATTTTTCTTCTGATGATGAAGAGATAGTCCAAACATCAATATTGGGACCAGTATTTTTCATCATATTCATAAATGACCTCATAAATTATATATATAAATTTGACGCTAGTATAAGACTATCTATAATAAATTTTGCTGACGACACAAATGCAGCAGCTAATTGATTGACCACGTAAATAACATACTTACTGTTTTTGATAACTGGTTCAGTATTAATGCATTACAAATAAATACATCGAAAACAAATATTCTACTATTTAAAACCACTGCACGAAATGGGAATACTTTGGATGTTCAATTGAATGGTAGACATGTAGAAATTATACATGTTTCTAATTTAAAATATTATCATACAGATAATATTCTAAATTGGAACCAGGAGCTCATATATTTGGAGAACTCTATTAGTTCTGCCTATTATGCCCTGCGTAGTTTGAGAGACATGCTTACTAGAGAACAATTATAGTCGGTCGAGCTTGCTTTGATTGAATCTAAACTTCTTTACAGCATTGCATTGTGGTGTAATAGTTATAAATATAATGCAGAGGGCGCTTTGCTTTGCAAAAAAGAGCCATTCGCACTATGGTACGGGTTCCACCTTGGGAGTCATATCAGCAACATTTCAGGAAGTTAGGTATACTCACGGTACGAAGCTTATATATCTTAGTATTGCTGACGAGACTTTTAATAAGGAGAAGGAACTTTGAGTCAAATGTAGAGCAAAGTGAACGAAAAAATACTAGGAGGAAAAATTTTAAAAATGTTATTGATTCCAAATTAAACATTGTGACGCACTGACCCCTGTATCAGTCTGTGAAATTGTTTAGTAAATTACCCATGGACTTTAAAATTAATAGGGGTTAAAGTATGAAATTGCCGATTTGTACTGAAAAT